ACAATGGGCTTTTTTAATTTGGAAGTTTTTATTTTTTATTTTTAACGTGTTGGCACAGAAGTAGTAAGTAGTGTACAATCAATATAGAGTGTCTTTTAAGAATCTTTCATGCCTGAATATACATCTGGAACTGTTTGCACTAACTAAAAGTAAAATAAATGCCACAGCATATTATACCATACTTTTTTTCATTTAAAAAAGGAAATTGAAAACACACCACTCTTAGAAATGCTTGACATTGAATTGGCTATTGAAATGGTATCAGTAAAGTATTTATATATTCCATATTTTGTTCCATACATCAGCTTTCCTTGATGCGTTAGACTTGGAAGGGTGCCACGTGAGCTGAAATGTTGCCATATATGAAAGGCCGCCTTGTTTTAAAAGTGGACTAAATAATTTAGGATACAGGAAGTAAAGTAAATCAGTTTGAATACATACATGTCTCTTTTTGCCCCTTCTCATGCACATTTTACTTTGTCTTCCCTGTTTGTCTTCAGAAGCTGGCTGTGCTTATGGTAAATATCAGTTGTTCACCTAACAGCTAAATATAGTGATAAAAATAACTTCTGCCATAAAAACTGAATGGATGACAAGAACAGTTTCATGAACCAAGAAATCCACAGAAGAAATATAATAATTTAAAGTTGGTTTTACAACATTCTTTAGTTTAAAACGGAGCAAAAGACTTCTGTGGTAAAATCACAGTTCTTCACTCTATGCCGTAAAGGATATTCAAGAATGTATATTTCAGAATGTTTGGGGGTTTGGTTTTTTTATTTGAAATAAAAAATATAATGCAAAGCAAATGCAATAGATCTTTGCATACTTGAAACATATTTTCTGAATTTATTCTAAGTCTCTCACTGCACCAGAGGGCTGTGTGTGTGGATTAGGACTAGACCATTATTTCACCATCCATCTCCATCCTGAATTGATTGCAGCAAACACTGCAGAATGAATTGCAGATGTCTCCTTTTCCCTCCAGTTTGGAGGACCTCTGGTTTCAGCCCCATTTGATCTGAACTGGACTAAGGAGTGCAAATCTGTCACTGTTTAGAGGGATTCAGTGAAAGAAATCTTTGCACTTGAAAAGTTACTCTCTCTGTATACACAGCCTGCCCTCTGAAATGTGTGATGCTGTGGGATTCTGCTTCAATGAAACTCTCTGGTGTGTCCCTGCTAATTCAGAATTATTGTTTGAAATCTCCGAGTCTAACAAAAAAAACCCAACAACAAAACAAAACAAAAACCAAAACAACAAAACTAGCTTTGGAAATGAGGAGGTTGGTTAGACACAAAGGCAAAAAATTCAAGAAATTAAGCAATTTTGGGACATAGTTGCTCTTAAAGCTATTCCAAATTTCAGGCAGAGTTCAATGTATATGCTCCTCCTGTATTATCAAACCAGAGCAAATGTACATGAAATCTTACAGAGGCAGGATTTCCCATCTGAAAAATACAGTTTTTTCCTATTGAGGGATTCTTTATTCCCCTCCCAAAACCTCATCACCTCTGAATATACAGGTAGAAGACTGTCCACAAAGAGTTATTGAGAAAAATATCTAAACATAAAAGTCGTCATGGAATAATACGGTTTGAGGGAAACTTGGCTCGTGATTACGATTTCAATACCATTCTGCCTTCAGCTTTCATATTTTCAACCTGTTTTTCAACAATTAGAGTAAAAAGTGTTGTATGTTTGTTTGATTTTAAATTTAAAAAAAAAAAAATTGTAGAAGCTGGAGTTCTAGGCTAAATAACACTTTTATCAACAACAGCTCTGCTTTGTGCTCCATCACTACTCCATCCCCTGAGAGCTCTTCCTCTTAAAACCAGAGCTGCTGAGGTTCTCTGGGGTTGTGGGTGGTAGGACAGCAGTGGGTGCAGAGCAGCTATAGGCAGGCGCTCCCAGCCCTGTAGCTCCCACGGAGGTTAGGGAACCAGCTGTAGAGGCAAGGAATGGGTAAATAGTAGCAGTGAGAGCAGAATGGCTCCTGCAACAGCTTTGCTAATAAAGAGGGTGGAAAGGTGGGATGTAAAGGCTGCAGTGAAGCAAGCTGTGCTCCTGGGTGGTGTGGTGGTGGTGACGTTTTCCAAGCATGTGTAAGAGCTTTGCATTTTGCCTTATACTTCTTAAAAAGCCATTTTCCTCTCCCCAAGGAAAGTCTCTGCTCTGACAAGATAATCTTGAACCCTGATTAGAAGTGTTTTGAGGTGTGCTTGAGAGGGGCCTTATATCTCCATACAGAAGGACAGAAGGCAGGGCTAGGGAAGTTACAGACAACTAGAGATAAATCTGTCTGCCTGCGATCATACAGTAGCAGAGTGGGGTTTAGAGCTTTGCAAGGGGGAGGGAGAGGTTAAGCAAAGGTAAGTGGCCTGGAGAGGGTTTGGGTTTTTTTACCTCTAAGAGATCCAAAGAAAGGTAATCGGGAAAATAAACCCTGATGTCATTAGATTTATATGAGAAGCACAGGGGTCTGTGGATAATTTCAGCAGATCTGCAAACCGGGTGTCAGACACTGTTTGAGGGTGTAAAAACCAGCTGGATCATGGTAGAATGGCGATCTGAAATTGGAGGGCAAAACCAACACGCTATTTCCTACTACCGTGTTCAATTTAAGTAACAAAACATTGCCAGCTTTTTGGGAAAGCCTCCCCCCTCCAATCTGAGCACGTTTCTGACCAAACCTGAACTTTGAAGTGTGACAAAGGAGGGGAGCAGGAGCCGTGTGGTTGGTTACAAGCTTGGGATCAGTTTTAGTTATCAACAGCTGAATTGGAGGATACAGGCTGTGCCTGCTCGCTGCAAGCAGCAGAATGTTAGAGGAGTTCGATTTCTCTCACTCTTTCTTCCACCCACCTCCATCTCCGCTGTGCCTGTGTCTGCGCTCCCACATGCTTCAAATCTGTGTACCTGGACTGCCTTCCTTAACAGTTCAATGTGAGTGTTAGCAGAATGAAAACCAGATGGACCAGCAGTTCCCACTGTTATCTCCCCACCAGCTCTGGCAAGCCTCCCTTTCTCTCTCCTTTCTTGGCATGGCAGAAATATTTGCCTTTATTTAGGAGGGCTTGGGCTCACTGCTGTGCCTCTT